GGAAAAAACTTAGGAGTACAGAGTGCGTGCCACAATAAGAACTTGTGAAACATAACGAGCCTGTCACAATGAGAAGCGATAATTATAAATTAGTTTTGCCTTTTAACTAAATACAACGATAACCTACAGAGGCTGAAAAGAATAATGAAATCCCTTCTAACTATGTAAACAATCTTGATTTTGCAAAGATGCCAACTGCTCCGGACATGCCAAAATAATTAAAAAGGCGGCAAATAACTACAAAGTAAATTTTGCAAATATTTGACTATTTTTGCTTGCTTTTTAAAAAGTAGAGCATGACATAAATATTCGTTCATTCGTTGTAAAAGAACTGGGCATCTGAGGCCTAAATGGCCCTTATCCCATTCACATACCTGCCAACTTTTACGCATTTGGCGTAAAATTTTATTTTTACATTTAAAGTGGTAGTAAATATATGCTATTTTTTTTCCTTTATAAACTTAATTTTTAAATGATTTTGATCACCACTATTTTTAAAAAACTTACGCATATTTAGTATTATGCGTTACTTGCACCTAATTTTACTCCACCATGCCGACTACCCAGCCCAGTCACCATCTTTTACATCTACTTCAGTCTTTAATATTACCTAAATTCCAATGCCATTAGTCTCAGTCGTCCTAGGGCATAACACAGATCAGAGGTCTAGTGCCCGCTTGCGCGGGCAGGTACCTTGCCAAATTACATGATCTAGCTAGCACCTAATTTAGCCCAAGTTTTTTTAATTACAACGTATTTCGTTGCTTAAAATTGAAATTTTAATTCCGGTTTAATACCACTGGGAAAAATCATAATTGAAGGAATTAAAAGTTGGCAGGTATGCATTCATCATGAAATATCCCAAAAGGACGTACATAAGAAAGTTGTATTGGTGGTTCGGAAAAGAACCTGAAATGCGATAAAATAATGAAAGGCATCATGAAAGATGTAGCAGGCTTGATGGTGAGGCTCCTTATCTACGTCTTGAGGGCTGGGAGCAGGGAGATAAGTAATGAGATGATTTTCTCGTCTTTCAAAAGTTCCTGAAGTTCTTTGATGATCCTTAGGAACTTCACTACACTGCTGGGGGCATCTTGTGGTCTACGCGTGAAGTTGCGATGATTTCGCATCGGCCGAGCACCACAGCCCGTAAAACAGGCCGGGTGATCGCCTTGACAATTGATGCATGTGGCCGGAAGGGAGAGAGGCTTCACGCACTTGTAGGTAAAATGTGCTCCTGCACATTTCATGCAGGCTGGATCACTTGAGCATGTTTTCTGTGTATATCCAAATTTCTGGCACTTGTAGCATTGGATGGCGTAACGCCCTCCATTAAATTTCTCGATTAGGACTGGAAAGGATAGCAGATTCTTTGTGGAAATAAAGTCCCGATGTTCTGGGAAGTCATGGAGTATCACTAGAAAAAGGGGGAGGAGCTTGTATCCGTTGTTATGCCTCTTTCTTAGTTGCTCTATCTTGAAGGGTCGTCGACCATTGTCCTCTATATCTTTCCGAAGATCTTCCGTTCGGATGTCTACTGTAAGGCCTCGCACGAGAAATTTAAGTTTTCTCGGGAGGTAATTCTTCTTGGTCGGCGTAGAAGGCTCCGTCAATTCTGCTTTGGATGAAGTGATCTCAGGTGTTGACTCAAGATGGGTAGAAATGGTCTCCTGGTTTCCGCTGGCATTTCGGCTATTCTTTTTTCTCTTCCTCGGTCTTTCGGGAGAGGAACAGGCTCCTTTTCTATACTTATCACAGTAGATGACTCGATTTGGGTAATTTCTAGTTGAGGCTCGCTGGAAGAAACAGTTTCTGTAGGGTCCGTCGTCTTTTCAGGCAGATTTGACTTTTCCGCTTCCATGGGCGTGGTCGAACGGACATTAATATTTAGAATTGGTGAATTATATAAGCCTACGAATTATTTAGAAATAGTGGTGGATAGAAATCTAATGAATTAAAATTTATTAAATCAAGAATCACAATTAATAAACTACCACTCGAAAATATTTTTTCGCTGTCCGGAGCAAGTTGGCATCTCAGTAATTGTTCTGGAATGTATTCTGTTGGCCCAATTTGAAAGCTTATGCGTGAAGAATTTGGAAATGGTGTTTTTTTTTTTTTTTTTTTTACCTCTGCAGAATGCCCATCAAACAACGGGCGAAGTAAAAGCTGGAAGCGTAGAAATTTAATAGCTTTTTTTCTTTTACTTAAACCAATATATTTTTTAAAAACTTTTTTATAGTATAAGTAAACCAAAATTAAATCTTCTGGTATAATAGCTCAAAAGAAATTATTATTTTCATCTCCTCACTTTGATCAATCCAAATTTGGCATGGGTAAAGAACATCCTTTCCAGAAACTTCAAGCGTATCTTTCAAAATGAGTCAATAATTTGGCCATATAACATCTTCCAAAACATTTGCTGTTAAAATAACTGTTTACTCAGATTAACATAGAAGTATTTCCATATCCTTGTCTAAACCCCGTACATTATATAACTGTTGAAATTGGATGCGATTTCTCTTTGACTTGACTTGATATGTAGTGTAGCAGAGTAACTACCCGCGAAGCGGGCATGTCACTCCTTCATAAGATGGAAAGGAATAATAGCTAGAATCCGAATTTTCTGCCGTATTTTTAAATATATCTATAGAACTGTTAGGTTTTATAACTGGTAGCATCTAATGTCTCTCACGTTTTTTTTTTTTTTTTTTTTTTTTTGCTTTTGAAATCAAGTCAAGTGCGAGTTTCTAAGATGAAAATATCTAGAGAAATAAATTATTTTACCAGTTTGACTAACAATAGCATGCACGATCTTAAACTAATTTTCAAAAAAAAATCTTCCTAATAAAAAGTCGTTTATACCATGGTAATCCATCACCTCCTACATCAAGAAGCCTCCACACGTTCTTTTATAAGTAGTCCCCGCAGACTATTTAAAAAGTGAACCAGTTGTGCGCATGAACCCAAAACCTTTTATAAAAGCAGAGATGCCAACTGCTCCGGACACGCCAGAACAATTAAAACAACGGTAAATAACTACAAAGCAAATTTTGCAAATAATTGACTATTTTTACTTGCTTTCTAAAAGGCATAGCATGATATTGGTACTGTAAAGTGGTGAATTATATAAGCCTACGAATTATTTAGAAATAGTGGTGGATAAAAATCTACTAAATTGAATTTATTAAACCAAGAATCACAATTGATAAACTACCACTTTAAAATATTTATTTGCTGTCCAGAGCAAGTTGGCATCTCTGTAAAAGCAATTGAGAGAAATTTATCTTATATATTTGAGAATTGAATCTGTAGTGGTTGACAAGTGAATAAGGCAAACCAATAATATTCATAAATAAAATAAAATTTTTAGTCATATATTTGCTATCACTTTCATATTTTAACTAGATTTTGTATTAAGTGACTCGTTCGGAAAGTGGATATCCTTCACAGTGGTCTGATCGGACTACCTATAAAAAACCGTGTGGAGGCTTTCAGTTATAGGAGGCGTTGGGTAATCCCTATAAAATTATCAACAAACACTTTCTTGAGTTCTAAGACAAAACAGGGGCGTTTGAGGCTCCCACAATTTTTTTAAAATTAAGTTTGTCTTGCTTCAACAGGAGCAAATAACTTTAGCATGTCTTAATCTAGAAGTTTTTATTCTGATTCTTTTCATGCAAAAATGCATATGTAAATTTTGAGACATTTTTTTAGTGTTCTTATAATTATCACACGTGAAACCTATTTCATACGAAATATCATTTTTGTACAACTTAATTTAAATGTAGTGTAATTTTTTTTTTGCTTGTTTCATTTTAATGTGTTCTAAACTATTTTATGTTCGTATCAAACTATTTTATTTCATTATCGTCGTTGAACAGCTGGCCAAATTTTTTTGGGTTTACCACTATAAATGCACAACTTTGCAAATTTTGAATCCAATTAAAAAGACAAGGAAATTCCTGGATCAAGTATTGGGAGAAATTTGCCTTAGTGGAAGACTTTTTGATGGAACTAACCAGTATTTGCGTTACATGGAGAGGCAAACCACTGGAACTTCCATGATCTATATACCACTAAGGATGGAAGTTTAAAATCTAAAATTCTTAATTAGCATTAAATTATAAATGTATGCTTCAATAAATAATTAATGTATGCTTCAATTTTATTAAAAAATATATTTTATATATTACTTTATTTTAATAAGTTCAAATTCATAGTTTGTTTTATTTAATTTTAATGAAAGCAAAAATATTAAATTAAATATATAGATGTATATATATTTTTTTATTTTTTCAATTTTCAAGAAGAAAAAAAAGAGAAGAAAAAGTTATGGCATTGTCAATTTAGAAAAGTTAATATTTTAAAGCGTTAAATTCATACATAATTACACTTTAATAAAAATAATAAATTAAATATTTAATTACTTAATTAATAAATTAGGTATTGCTCATTATTTCTAGCAGAAAAAGTAGCTTGAGAATAGCATATTTGATACTTGTGCTATTTTTGTTTCATAGTTACATAAATAATTATAAAAATGTAATGTAATTAAACTTTGAAATCTCATTAATTAAATTTTGAAATGCCATTATTTGTATTTCTTACTAATTTGCCTTCGAATTTGTTTCGTTTAATAAAAAGAAAGCATCAAGTACTACTTATCACGCTCCTAAGCCCGAGAAAGTGTGAAGAGAATTTTTGTTACAAAAATATGAATTTGCATGATACTAAATAAATAATTAAAATAAAATTAAATAATTTATCATTGAAAAGTAATTTTTTCATTAGACTGTTGAATCCGTACGGGGAAATCGCTGAAGAATTATTCCCCTCCCCTCCTCCTCCCAGTAAAAAAAATTCTATCTACATTTCTGCCTGCTTAGATATAATTTGGCGAAGTTAAGTTCCAACGAAGTTTTGTAAACGCCAAGTTATAAATCAGCGAAGTTTTGATCTGAAAAACACATTTTATTTACGTTTTCTTATCTCTTTAGAACATCGATGGAAGACCGTGAAGAAAAAGTGAATGCTGTCTATGAAGAGATCGAAACGAATCTCATTCTACTGGGAGCAACTGCTATTGAAGACAAACTTCAAGATGGTGTACCAGATGCTATTGCAAATCTCGCCATGGCTGACATCAAACTCTGGGTACTGACAGGAGATAAGCAAGGTAAGAATACAAGAGTTCAACATTCTTTATAGATCTACAGTAGAAACTAAATTGAATTTTATTGATTTTCTTTATTGAAGTATTAATTTGTAACTACCCGTAAGTTTAAAACTTTCAATTAATACTCTGATAAAAACAATTAAAGTTTGGATCGATTTATTTAGTTTTTTTTTTTTTTTTTTTTAAAAAAAATAACGTGGAATTAAATATATAACAGAANAGTTTGTCTAAAGTAAGAACTCCCCTATACAATTGTCTGGAGCCGAGGCGGTGACTATGATGACGAGTTATAACTATTTCGAGTAGGGATGTGGGGTCATTGCTTCGGACATTATTTGGGTCGGGATGGTGTGAGAAAGGGAATATTTTTCTTCTGTATATTGTGTTAGCCCTGAATGAAGAGAAGCTACCCTCCCTGAAATGCGTCATTCTTGTTTCCATAGCAAATACATTCTAAAATAGGTTGATTAATAGTGATAATCGAAGAAAAAACCTCTTTAATAATATTGTTAATAATTTTATTTAAGTACTTAAATAAAATAGTGGCATGTTTAGTTACGTAAAATTTAGACTCACGAGTGATTGTCCTAAATTTAATAGGATTTAACTTTGGTGATATTTAAGAATAAAAATTTTTCATTATTAATTTTAATTTTTAAATTTTTTATCGAAAGCTAATTTTTTTAAGATAATATTTTTATTTAAATTATTGTGATTGTGTATTTTAATTAAATTATATTATCAGTTTCATTAAAAATAAATTCCTCATTTGAGAGATCTGCATAGTATATTTTACAGAAGATTGTATAATTATATTTTGGTTAGTTTATGGGTGTACTGATGAAGTATTTTAAGTCGTTTAATTCATCAGTTTTAGAAAAATTTGTTGAATAGTTATTTTTATTTAGTTTCCTTATTATAAAAAATAAAGTTTTTAAACCAGCCCAAGAAACAGCCCATTTCTATTCAGTTAATAAATATAACGTTAAAGATAATTTATTCGAAATCTTTAGACAAAAATTCTTGAGATCATTAATAAAGCTCATTAGAATTTTGTCAAATCTTTTCAAATTAGGTGAAATAGTTTGTAAATAATCAAACATTAAAATAGTTGTTAATTTAAAATTTAATCTATTTGAATGATTTCATCAAAAATTTGCATTTTGCCTCCTATAAGTACATCATTTAAAATGATGTAAAATTTTTTACACCTCACAACTAAAAAATTTATTTGACCATTATGAAATAAAATAATGAAAAAAAACCTAATTAAAATTAGGTTTTTGCAAAGAATTATCATTGGACAAAGGAATTTCATAAATGTGAGCAAAGTTATATCGATTTGCTTAAAATATTCCGGAGATATTGTTAAATACGCAAAAATTAAACCTCACACTAAGAGGTTTATAATTTCAACCGCTCTCCGGAATATCAACCGCTGAAATTTTGACCATTCTCCATGTTTTGAGGGTCCAGAATCCAAATCCGTGCAAAAGAAATGTTTTGTTTGTTCAGAGACCGTATTTGACTTCGCAACTTAAAAATCGATACGCCTACTACAGCAATGAAACAGCATATATAACGTTAGGAGTTCGAACAATTCATATTGAAGAAAAGTACCAACGTACTCAATCCGTACTAAATCCGATCAATTAAATCAAAAGTTATTCAATGTGTTATATATTTATACACAGTGAAACCACTCGTGATCAATCACTCTCTGTTTCAACGTAAAATGGTAATTAATGTAGGTTGGTCGGTTCTTAAGGGTTACCTTAATTTACTTCAAAATGCTATTGAAGGTACATGATTTTTCACAAACGATTTTAATTTTAGTCAGTGTAGATTTATATTGTTTATTCTAAGAGAATTAAAAAGAAAGTATATTGTTTACCTATTTAAATTATATTGCGTAAGGATTTTTATAGATATTTGCCAAGTAGTTACAGAGGAGCAATAATAATTCAAAAGAGTAGAGCATGAAATTTTCTTTCCTCGAAAACGGAGTTAATAATCAGTGGATCAGTCTTTTTTTCTTTCTGAGAATTGCATAATTATAAAATTATACTTCAAGTCCCTATTAGTAAAGCCAAAGATAAAAAATGTTGAAAGAAAAGGACGCAGTTCAAGAAATACTATTATTTTATAATTCCCTAATTATACATATTACAAATATCTTCTTTTTTTAAAAAAAAAAAATAATAATATATATAAATTAATTTCAATATCTATGTCAAGCACCTCTTATTATCTTAAAAGAAGTAACTAACTAACGAAGAATCTTTTCTTCTCTGTTATTGCAACGTTAAATGTTTTTTCAGGGGACTTTATAATATAATAATTTTATACTTTAGCAAATAACTTTAGTACCATATAAGTGGCCTTAAAATATATACTCATTATATACTCATACATGGAAGGATTGAACCACAAGACGAGGAAAGTGAAATCTATGGTAGCGTCACTATAGAGAGTTAAGTTGAATATCTTTTTCTTAAAAGTTAATCGTCCAAAAAATGGTGAACTTTACTTTAGAGAGTAACGCCTACTTTCTCTTCGATTCTTTCCTCTACATTGCGAACATCTTGGATATGGTAATAACACCCTCAATGAAACCATGAAAAACGTGAATAAAATTGAATTTTCAGAAATATCATAATGTACCAAATGTTAAAGATTTTTAAAAATCCAGAATGGCTTGAAAATTTTCCCTTATTTATGCACTTACAAGGAAGAATGAAATATCATAACTTCAATAGAATTCTGTTAAAAATAGTGAGTTTCATTCCATCACTGCAGGCTATTGTATTTTCCTTGTATTCCCATCGATAAAACCTAATGGACCTAATTGTCTAAACTAAAACCTAATTGTCTTAAAAGTAGGAGAGTTTTCTAATTTCATTAAAATATCAGAAAATACAGTTCAATATTTTAAACTACCAGTAATTAAATATATTAGTTTTTATATATATTTAAAAACAAAATGTTTATTTATCCCACAAAACTTTCTTTCAACCATTAATAAAACTTTCTGCGCAATATATGCGTGGAAGGTATGTTTAATTTGATTTGAAATGAGCTAAGAGAGGGAAAGACAGGAACTATAGGTGAAAGCCCTTATTTAGCAAGACGGAAAAGAGAAAAACCTGGTAGCCTGGTACGTAAAACATTTCATTCCAGCATTTTCTTTCGAAAAAAATGAAATATCTGTAACTATCAAGATTTCTTTTATAATTCTGGCATATATATAAAACTGCTTCTTTTCCAAGATAAAATAGATATTGTTGAAAAATTTAAAAAAAGAATAAGTAAACTCCTCCCCAAAACTAGCTATAACTGAAATGGTTTTACTACCAGCCTTTCCTCTTTTCCGTCTCACTTTCACGCCTGACAGGAACAGCTACTCTTCTGTCAATGCTACTTCTGCTACATGATTAAAAAGTGACAGTGACAAATAGCTGTGTTCATTTCGATATAAAATTAATCATATTTTTTATTGATCAATTCGATTAATAGTTATAATTATTAAATTTGATATAAAGTAATCGATGATATTTTTTTATAAATAATCGATATAATTTGTTTTTAGTAATGTTAATCGTGAACATCTAAATGAGATTCGTTGCCGCTGAGGTAACAAGTAACAAGTTTTATACACTATTGAATTAGAATTATATTTTTGTAGTGGTAGATATTTTACAGTTATTAATAGTTATGAATTTTATTAATGGATATTAAAAATTTAACTCCTTTACGCGATTATAATTCTTGTTGTAATTTTCAATTAATCATTACTTTTGTAAGGCAGGCATAGATGTGCGATAGAGAATATATGAGTAATCAAGAAGATGCACTCTAGAGCAGTGTTCCCCAACCTTTTTATCACCGCGGACCCGTCAACGTTTGATAATTTTACCGCGGCCCGCTGGTGGTGGTGTGTGTGAGTGGGAAGGGGACATTGATTGTTTATTTTTTTAGATTATTTCGATTTGTTAATTTTAATTTAATTGTATTTAAACATGCCTTCAAAATAAAATGCAGTTACACCAAAAAATAAATATAAAGTGATTTAACATTTTAGCTTACTAGAGCTTTAAATCAATGAGAACCCTGAGCTTTTTTCTTTGCAATGAGATTGTTCCATCCGGGGGTAATCGGATATAATGACTCCCGCAGTGTGTTGCTTGTGTCCAGTTTATTCCGTTGCTTTGTTTTGGTAAGTAGTCGGAAATGACAATAGGGATTTAAGTGTTGTGGTGGCAATCTCGGGGTATTTTGCCATGTCTTTAATCCAGAACACCGGCAGAGTTGTTGTTTCTAGCGTAGTTTTAAGGCTGCCGTCGTCATTTGCAATCTCCAGCAGTTGATCTTCTTGCACACACATGCTAGATTCGCCCGATTTGTTGAGAAATGGGTGGCACATCCATTCCTTACCAGATATTTTTAATTTGGGGAACCTAGGAATTTAAATTCAGTTTCAATGAAATGGACGGCCCGGTACCATTTGTACCACGGACCGGTACCGGTCCGTGGACCGGGGGTTGGGGAACACTGCTCTAGAGTATTATAGACGAATGCCCTAAAGATAAAAACGGATTATCACATTCCGCGAGGTCCGAAAATTTCACTGAATTCATATTTTACAATTTTCAAGTTATTACATTTTTCATTTCAATCTTAAACTTTCTTCCTGCAAAATAGGACAGGCAGGAAATTATAAAAGAAAAAAAAAGTCGTATTGTTCTCAAAAGAAATTACTTTATGTTTCAAAAGGTGTATAATAAATAAATCAAATCAAATATTACTTCGATATTAGATATAATATAGAATTTGGAAATGGAATTTATTTTTTAAAAAAACTTTTAATTTAGTTGTTTTAAAACTTCAAATAAATTTTTTAATTATCGGATATTTTATTCACTATATTATTTCCTCAAAAATAATTTTAAAATTTGTGACATTTATAGCAGTAATGTAACACAAAATTTTGATAGACGCAAAATTTTGGCAGATATAAATCTATAAACAAAAAATTACTATAGACATGTAACCTACAGGATTTGAACGCGAAAACTCCCGAATGCAAGGATAGCTTCGCAACCACTATACACTTTCTCTCACGCACGGCAAATTATAGTTAACATTATAAATAGGCAAAAACGTAAAAAAAATTTAGCATATTTCTTAAAATTTTCTTGCGTAAATTATTGTTGATGTGTTTATTTTTTTCAAATTTCTCACTCTCTCTCTGTTTTTCTTTTTGACTCATTTCTTTTCGTTCATTTTCCTTTTTTCACTTCATTTCACAAAAACAATAACTCGCCGAATGAAGGGGAGGGGAAAGAAGATAGAAAACTTTATTGATTTCACACCTTAAAATATAAATGTCAATAACTTGATGTAAAAATACCAAGTCTCTAAATAATATCTTTTGTTTCAATCATATTTCATCTTTAACAGACTCGCAAAAATATACATTTTTTTTTAATTTTAGATTTTCATGTACTGTATAATTTTTATTTATAATAAAACATCCAGTCTCATTTAAAGAAAAAAACAATCAATAAAAAATATTTTTTGCCTTAAATTTTCAGATTAAATAAAAATGTACGTATATTCAAATGTACGCAAGAAAAAAAATATTGTAATAAGATTAATTTAAAGATTCTTCATTATATAACAAATTTATCATACCACAAATTATAGAAATCCTTACAAATTATACAAAGTGTGGAATTACCACATTTTCTCACCAAAGCTTGTAGCGTAAAGACGTATTGAAACATTGTAACTTAGCTCAAATCCTTATTTTTTTTTAATTTCTAAGTTTATGCATCGTAAGTATGACAAGTCATCGTCATCTAGAAAACTTCCCAAGATGGCGGGTAGTTGGTTGACTTGAGGCGGGCCATTTACAGGCTACCTGATGTAGGGATTTCTGGGTTTCGACGATCTAGTCAAGGCCGCAAAAGGGCAGCCATGCCGGCTATATAATGCAATCCATTTTACGCATAACAGTGGCCGAGAGACTTGATGCAGGTCACCTGCATACTTGTCTCCGTGTAGTTTGCATACCTTAGACTATGAACCAAAAAAGGACCATCTAGCATGGTGCCAAGAGCATCTGTCTCGGGCAGAGGATGATTGGGGGTGAGCTAAGTCTGGGTTTGAGTTGGACAGCTACTCAAGACGTGCTCTCATATAGAAAGAACCCGGGAGTTAATATCGGCGCTTTAACATTCTTAACTATATTCAGTGTAGTCTGATGATTTGAGTAGGCATCATGGCAGACGGTAATATAGGCCTTCATGTGTCCGATAAAAGTTTTCTGATAGGACAGTGGTACGAAAAAGAGATCCCTGCGCCCTATGTGAGCCTTTTCCGTGGAGCATATGTTCCACGTGAAGTTCTACATTTCATCTCTATGGACAATAACACCGGTTCACTCTGGGCTCAGTTGATGATCCAATACCTTCAATCGGAGGATATTCAACGATTGGAGTTGTCTGCAATGTCCCCTTGATTTAATCCTTAATACTTTTAACACGTTGAGCGCCACGTCGGTGGCTGACACTAGACTTTCCAATCTAAGGTGAACAACGTTTAAGAGCACAAAAAAATATTTATAAATGTAGACAGCTGTTTCGGATGCTCAAAGGGCAACCTTTATCAGTGCAACAGAAGGAAATGAGAGAAAACAGGGTAAATATAGAGAAAGGTGACGTCACAAGGGGGGTTAGGGCAACGGCCAATAGGAGGGAAGAGTGAATGAATGACGAGGAATGGGTGGTGAATGGGTGATAGGGTGGTTAGTTACTTAAAGGGTGCCTAACTAACCACCCTTTTTCGTTCCTTGCTTCCCATTCGTCGTCATTCATTGGCAAATTCACATATAATATTGCTAATATTGGCAAATTTAGTTTGTAGTTATTTACCGTGGCCAGATGGGCAAGTCATGTAAATTTAGCGGGGCGTTCAACGTGTTAATTCTTATTAGGAGTTTGCCGATATTATAAATTCAGTAGTTAATACATTACCGCTGGTAAAAAGCTCCTTTCAAGCGCCTAAAAGTTGGCAGGTAAGATTTATTTTTTTAAATAATATATACCCCACACAAACACTAGAAATCCTACTCATGGCTGAAAGCCCTTATATTGCAAGACGGAAAAGATGAGAAACTGGTGCGAAAGACATTTTATTACAGCATTTTTTCCGAGAAAAATAAAATATCTGTAACTATCAAGATTTCTTTAAGATTTTAACATATATATAAATCTGCTTCTTTTCCAAGATAAAATAGATATTGTTGAATGGTTTAAAAAAGAATAAGTAAACTCCTCCCGAAAACTAGCAATGACGGAAATTGTTTTACTACCAGCCTTTTCTCTTTTCGGTCTCGCTTTCACCCCTGATCCTACTTAATCAGTAACCACCACGAGAACTAGAGATTACAAAGAATTGGAGATGCCACTTGCTCCCGACAACGGATAAATATTTTCGAGTGGTAGTCTCTAAATGCAGCATTCTTTATTTAGTAAATTCCAACTTTATGGTTTTTACTCACCACAACTTCTTGATAATTTAAAACCTTATGTAAAATGCCACTCTGAGTGGCATTTCTCAACATGATTGTACCCGAGTCACTCGGGTGCAATCATGTTGAGTTTTTTGTTATATATATATATATATATATATAAAGTTTTTGCACCAATTACTGTAATTATATTACTTAACATTACTAATAGATTCATTACTAATAGTACATTACTTAATAGATTCAAATGTATGAACTTTTGAAATCTGGTCTTTCATTTTCGCTGACATTGAATAATAGAGTCATTTACAATTTCAGAAACCGCTATAAACATCGGCTACTCCTGTCGGTTGCTCTCAGACGAAATGGTCGATATTTTTATCGTGGACGCCAATGAATTCACCGAAGTTGCCAACCAGTTGAGACGCTACAGAGAAGCGATTGCCAACGTTCTTGCTCATGGCAAGGGAGGTGCAATAGGTGGATGTACTGTCATCAGATTCGAGAACGATTACAATGCTCCTGCTGAAACTCCAGTCGATCCTTCCGGTGGCTTTGCACTTGTCGTCAACGGGCACAGTCTGGTGAGTGCAGTCATAGTAGTCAACGCATGACTTTTTTTTAATTCGTGACGTAGCAACGTCAACGCTTCATATAACTTAAAGCCTCCACACGGTTTCTTAAAGGTAGTCCGATCAGACCACGATGAAGGTAAACCAGGCTACGAAAGAGTCATTTATTAAAAAATCCAATCAAATTAAGAAAGTGGTAGCAAATATATCTCTTAATTTCTTCTTATTTTATGAATATGATTGGTTTGTCTTATTTGCTTGTCAACCACAGCAATATATATATATATATATATATAATAATAGTTTTTCCATTACCATTATTTACTCAATTATGAAAAACAATATTTATTAATTGTTTCAAATAAATGCGATTTACCAATTTTATGTCAAATTTATGTGTCAAATTCATGTTTAAAGATAAGATTTTTTTATTATCCTCAAGCCGCAATTATGAACAACATTATTTATCAACTGTTAGTTGTTTCAAAGAAATGNACCACTACAGATTCAATTCTCATATATATATGATAAATTCCTCTCAGTCACTTTTAAAAAAGAATTTGGGTTCATGCGCCCAACTGGTTCCCTTTTTAAATAGTCTGCGCAGCGTGGTGTGAAGGCTTTCTGACGTAGGCTTTATTAATAATTGTTAAATATTTACATCCACATTGATCTTATCTGTCACTCTCACTCAGTATTTAAATACTTCGCCTTTTACAACTGCGATATTCTTTCTCACACAAACTCGTAACGTCATGGAACCGATTGAACTATTTTCCCTCTTAAAAAATTGTGGCAAATGCTTACATAGAAACCGAGGCAGTTAAGAAGTTCCTTTTCTCTTTGGATGCTCATGTACTCTTTGTAATAACGTTTGGAATAACCCTGAATAACATTTGGATCTAATAATCTGTTGATCTAAACGGATCATCGTATATAAATATCTTACTTTTTTGAAATTCAAATTCTCAGGAACTATTTAACAGATTTTGCTTAACTTTTTTATTTTGCCATGTAAAATGAAGTTCTTTGAAATGATGAAAACAATTGTGTGACTTGTAACTCAAAATTTTTTTTGACCATTAATAAATAAAAAAATAATAAATATTTAATAAAAGTTATTTTCTGAATGGAATTATAGTTCAATGGACGAATTTCATAAGTGTGTGAGAAACTTTTTCAATTCACTTAAAAAGTTCTCGAGCTATGGTGAAGTACACAAAAAGAAAAATGAATATTTACGGGTCAAAACTTTGGATCGCTCTCCAGACCAAACTATTGGTAGTATATTTCCCAGATAGGGGCTACTCGCTGTATTTTGGGGGTCAGAAATCCGAATACGTCGAAAAGAAGGTATGTTTATTCAGAGAAAGTACATTTTTGAGTCTGATATATTAACTGAAAATATCGTCTGCACTAACTAATTAGCATATTTGACTTCACCCCCTCAAACTATTAAGGTCGAGTCCTAGAGCGTGAAGATCCGATCATTAGATCAAAAGTTATTTTGCACATTGTACATAGTGCAGGGCCGGATTAACCTATAGGCACACTAGGCACGTGCCTAGGGCCTACGAAATTCAGGGGCCTACGAAAAACTTGGGAGAAAAAAATTTGTTGACAAAAATAATTTAGCTTTAAAAACAACAGGTGTATTTTTGCACAAAATTATGAAGATACAAATAAAAATATAATATTTTTCGGTAATAAATTACTTTGCAGAATCTTATGATCTAAGATATTACTTTTTTGCGATTTTTGGATTTAACGAAATCTTGTATTATGCTGTCGAATTGCAGATAAAGTTCGATAAACAAATTTTTAAATTGAAATCCATATTAATAAAAATGTAAAAAAAAAATATGCAAAAAAATTTTAGCATATATTTTGAAAAGAGGGGAGGGGTGGGGAAGGAGGGGAGGGCCCAAAAACGGCTGTGCCTAGGGCCTACGAAAGGTAAAATCCGGCTCTAACATAGTGGTAATATATTCATTTTAAAACAAGTTTAAACTAAGTAGAAAATTGTTCTCTAAGCACTACTAATTCAATGTTAAAAATAATCATAACAAATATGATATTAAATCGCATTATAAATAAAGCGCACTAGTAATATGAATAATTCCAGCGCTCACGGATGGCCTTTAATTTTTCAGATTAATACTTATAACAAAATTAATTTTTTTAAGCTCCTTTTACGTTTAGAGCTATAATTACAAAAATAAATAAGTACTTTAAAAACTGATTCAGGTCTTCAATTTTTAAATCAATTTCATTTTGAATCAGGTCTTCAATTTTTGTGCAGTATCATGATATTAGTAAATAATATTTATTTCAGGTGTACGCATTAGACCCTAGTATGGAAGTCTTATTCCTTGAAGTGGCTTGCCAATGCAAAGCTGTTATATGCTGTCGTGTGACACCCCTGCAGAAAGCCCTGGTGGTTGATTTAGTTAAACGTCATATAGGAGCCGTCACCTTGGCTATAGGAGATGGTGCAAATGATGTGTCTATGATCAAAAGTAAGCTTTGATAAACTATTGATGCAAATTCAAGTATCATAAATGCATAATAATTAACAACAATTTTACATTTAAAGGAAAATTTCACTTTGCCTAAAATTTTGTACAAATTTAAAAATTATTTTTTTATTGCTTGCACATTTTTTAAATTATTTACAAAAGCCATCAGGATAATTAAAGTGAAAAACTTTACTTTTGTAACGCATTTATTTTTATGGTAATCATTGTCTCACAATCAGGATTCAAATCTCTTTCCTTGGACATACCCATAATAGTATGGACATCATTTTTTGTCCTTACCTGGTTATATATTGTTTGTTCTAAATGAAGTTTTTTATTATTTTAGTGGCACACATTGGAGTCGGCATAAGTGGACAGGAAGGAATGCAAGCTGTCTTGGCGAGTGATTTTTCTCTGGCACAATTCCGTTACTTGGAAAGACTTTTGTTGGTCCACGGCCGATGGTCCTATTTCAGAATGTGCAAATTCCTTCGTTACTTCTTTTACAAAAATTTTGCATTCACGCTTGCACATTTTTGGTTTGCCTTCTTTTGTGGCTTTTCTGCACAGGTAAGATTCAATTATTCACTATAAGAACCTATTTTTTGTGGATTTTTCTAAGATATTATTTTAATAATTAAAGACTTAGCAAAATTAATACTTCTCGATTGAAGTTTCATTTAAATTTAAATAAATTTTCCCCTTATTATACAAAATTAAGTTAACCACACTTTCTCGCATATTACCCTTTTGAGCCTAGGTTTATTTTACACCAGTGGTGAGCAGTTCGGGATCGGGGAAAAATTTTTTCTAGTGGTAGCAAATGTTATACTTTAATATTTAATTCACAATTTTTCAAATTTCATTTAAATTAATTTTGTCGAAAACACTGCATAAATAATTCAATCATTCACACACACACACATATATGTATAGTAGAAATTATAATTGAAATATTAAAAAGATAAAAGATAATAAATAAATAAAAATGAATTAAATGTCTACCACTTTTTACATTTTTGGTCACCAGTGGCATCCCTGATAAGGCAGAGTTGCGACCTTTAATTCTTTCAGAGGAAATATTTCATAAGTGGTAGTGAATAACTAATTAGAATGCAATTGTAAATAAAATTAATATTTCACATGTGCTTTGGCTTATACTCATTTTCGATTTTTTAACTTGCTCTTTAAGATTGATTTATTTGTTTTTAGAGTTAGTCTGAATCATATTAAATATAAATTATAATCCAAGAAATAAAAAGATATTTATGAGCCACATTAACACATTAAATTTTTAAAAAAAAGGTATTACAACGAACTTTCCGTAGTTGTTGGTAGCAATGTAGCAGGAAGCAATATGCACTTTATATAAACAAATGTAAATTAGAATTTTTCGAATATTTGTTTTTATGTTTAGACGACTTTTTTTGGTTGAGCGTGAATGGGTTCTGTTTTGAATTCATATTAAAGCAGCATTTTGAGCGTTCAATCGCGATTCAAAGCAATTGAAACATGTTTTACTTTTCCTTTATACCAGACATAAATGCAGTAATTTGGCTACCAGTTTTTTATTTATTTTTTTTATTTTCACACCTATAGCCAACCATAATCTATCTATATTATATAAAACGCTAATACGTACGTATGTATGTATGTATCAATAAAACCGATGATATTTCTTTTCTCGCGCTGGCAACAGTTTTCATTTTTAATTGATTGGATTCGGCGCGCAAGAGCACGTAGTGAGCAACCAGATAACAATAACCAGAGTGAGCATTATCAGGTTGTTCAATTCAGATTCATGCACTAAAAACATGACAATATTTAATTTAAACTCAATTAGGAATTAATTAATTAATTGAAGTGAGAATGCTTTAAAAGGCCGCTGTTGAATTGATATTTTTCTACTGGGAGCTACCTAAACGTCTAAAAAACGTTTAAGTGTTTGTATTGAATGCATTGAATTTTTTTATATTTCGCGTTTATTTATGCATTGAATTTTCACGCTTTAAAATGCAGAATATTAGTGAAGCAATATTTGATAATTTATTTTGCTAATATGTTTCTTATTTAGCTAATGTTTTGATTTTTTCACCATGTACAATCTAAATAGCTAATATACTTTTTTAAAAGCCAATAAGAACATTGGTAGAATTCTTCTACATAAGTACAATACTATGTCTTTGATGATAAAATACTATGTCTTTGATGATAATATATTATGTCTTTGTGCTAGAACATTGTGTTCATTGGCGAGCGAGCGCAGCGAGCCATGGTTCACGGCGTGAACCACATAGGATTTCGTAGCAATTCTCGGGGGTTGGCGAGCGTTAGCGAGCAGGGGGCGGAGCCTCCTAGTATAAATTTATATCTTAAAAAAAAGAAGAGAAAACGGTTTTAGGAAGAAGAAAAAAGTATGTGATATTTTTTTAAAAACTGCTTTTACTTAAAAACACTGAACTTTTACTTCAAATGCAAATACACACAGGAAAACCTCCAGGAAAGAAAAACCCCTGTGTAGCAACCTCCTTTATTTACGACCACTCTTGATCGACATAGGAATTTTTTCCGTAGATCTTGTGTTGAAGAAACCTTTAGTAGAGACCATCAAAACCTCTCCCAGCGACCGGACAAACCTCTGCACCAAACGCGGAAAAAGTCAAATAATAACTTTGATCCGGCGTGAACGTGTTAATATCCATTTTACTGTGGAACAGTGTGGTCAGTCCAGAGAAAATTCACTGTATATCGAGGAAAAAAAAACTATTTAAAGAGCTTAAAGGATAAAGCAGACAAATGGGATTTATTTAATTACAAAAAAATTTAAAAAACAGCAAAGTTGTTGAATTGTAGGTATACAGGTCTGCCAACTTTCAACACTTTTTGTAAAAATTTATTCTAGTGGTAGTTAAGTTTATGCTTAAAAAAGTTTTTTTTTTTTTTTTTTTTTTTTTTTTTTTTAGTCCTTTAAATTTTTCCCATCTCAATTATAAAAGATTTAGAAGTTCTTATGCAACGCCTCGTTGTTTTTGTTCATCCCTGGTGAGGAGTGAATAATTTGGCTAAATTACCAAAAAATCTTAAAGCTTTGGTTCTTAGATGTCTTTCACTCGATAAAATATTAAGCGTAGAAGTTGGCAGGCATGGATATGCAGAGCTGTCATCGTTCTATACTTATAGGGAAAATTTCCTTCAGTGGTAGCTAATTTTATATTTTAATGCTTAATTCTTTGTTTCGTAAATATTATTTAAAGTTATTCTTCACACGAATACTTGGAAATGATTCAAAACTTACAATGACACACTTTGTTTAGCTTTTAAAATGTTACCAAAAATGCTCTAAGAGTTAGTTTTTACACAGATGCCACTTGCACCACTTTCTAAAAAAAGAATTTTCCAGTGGTAACGAAATAAATAGTTTGCTATTGTTTATTTTCAGAAATTTTTTTCAACACTACATAGTGAAAATTCGAAGTATGATATACAATGTAACTTAATCACAATTATCTTGTTGTTTCCCTTTAAAAGAATAGGAGTTATTATCCTTTCTCTACAAGTTCTACAATTTTTATTTGCAACCGATTTCTTAAGACTTTTGCAAAAAGCGGAGCAATCGGCTGTTCTGAGAGAGTTTTTTTAACTTCGTAGGGACAGGCGAGTCATAAAATGCTTTATCAGGGTGATGATAATCAGGGTAAAAAAGAAGAAACGGGTAGCCAAGCTATTTCTTTACCAATTTATTTGTGGGCTGAGTAATAATTTGCTTATATAAATTCACCACTAAATAATTCAAAGTAAAATATATAGATGCGTCAGAATTAAGGGAAAATTAAAGCCTTGTCCGTCGAGTGAGCTGTGCCATCACCTCCTACATCAAGAAGCCTCCACACGGTCTTTTATAAGTAGTCCGCGCAGACTGTTTAAAAAGTGAACCAGTTGTGCGCATGAACCCAAAACCTTTTCTAAAAGTAATTGAGAGAAATTTATCTTATACATTTGAGAATTGAATCTGTAGTGGTTGACAAGTAAATAAAGCAAAACAATAATATTCATAAATAAAATAAATTTTTAGTCATATATTTGCTACCACTTTCTTATGTTAAATATATTCTGTATTTAATGATTCGTTTGGTAAGTGGATATCCTTCATAGGGGTCTGATCGGACTACCTATAAAAAAACTGTGTGGAGGCTTTCAGTTATAGGAGGCGTTGGCTGTGCTCTAGGTATGCTGGAAAATATTATCCTGTGTTAAAGAAATTTAAGTAATTCTTAGTTTTGCATTTTTCATTTTAAGTAATTTATCCACCCTGACATATTCAAAGTAACATATGAAATGCGACGTTTTTGAAGTTATCTTCTTTCAAAACTCATGACGAAAATTACTTCACAAATCAAGATGAAAAGGTAAAAGGCCCTTTCGGGGCCCAAAGGCCTTGAGCAGTAATATGACTATGACTGCTATTAATTTAAAAATTCATGATGAATATGCAACATGATATTTCAAGTCAATATGAGCAGCTAAAAGGCTCCTTCTGAGCCTAAAAGCCCCGGGAAAGAAAAAAGACTATGAAGTTATCTCATGGTGAGGCCATTAAAAAAGTAGGCGTAATTATCATCATTTAACACGTTTTGTTATTTAATTTCTACTTTTTATGATTTTTTTTTTCCGAGTCTCGCAGACATTCTCAAAAAAAAATTTAAAAGTTGGTCTTAATTTCATTAAATAAAATTCTGAAAAAATGCATCTATCATTTTGAAAGAGATATTTTTACAGAAGTATGGTTGTGGGCCACTAAGAGACCACATTACCTGTTGACAGCAAGGAACTCACACATCACACAACGCTAACTAGCTCAAGGTGCATGGGATAGGAGCCACTTCTTACTTCTTAGAGTTATAAAATTCCACGCATTCACAAGCTTGTTACAATACAAACTCACAAATGCTTTATTTATTTTACAGAGATAAAGGAAACTCATACGACCGATAATAAATACTAATATACTTTATAATTTTAATTCTTATTTTAAAGTGGTAGATTTTAAAATGTAATATTGTGTTGCATCATTGATAAAAGTAATTTTATTAAGCTTGCAAATCTTATTTTGACAAGATTAAAGGTTTCTATTTTTCTGATAAATAATCGATGGTATTTGAAAAACAGTGCTAAATATGCAATCTCAATCGCCTTGCTACATTCTTATACACTCAAACATTTGAATTTTTTTTTGTAAAATACTGTTACCAGTGGCAATGAATTACATAGATTTTTTTAAATCAAATAGAATTCGCACAAAATTTTTCAATAAAACCAAACTATTACTTTTTATAAATTTGGTATCAAATCCATCTTTTTTTCCTGTATTGGAAATTAAATGAAAATGTAAGTAATAATAGCAAAAATTAAATTAAAATTTGTAAAAGCAGATATAAAGATGAATTTACAGCGGTAACTCAGCAAATTGATTAAGTGTAAGTTTTATCCAAACGGAATCAGACATTTAATCTGTGAAACTAAATCTGGGTTTCAAAAATTTAGGTTTTTTTTTGAGTATTTTTTTTTTTTTTTTTTTTTATTTTTTNTTTTAATTTTGATTTAAGAAATACGATATTTTGGTTTATGTGCTCTTTGAATGGTTTAAAAAATTATTCCATTATTTCTCTTTCGAAAATAAAAAATGTCACTTACCTGGTTCCTCCACTCTGCTCTTCAGTTATTAATTGCTGTATTTTTACGCGCCTACAATAAAGCGACATATCGTTATAGCTTCTGATTTTGCCTGAACTACAAGGTTCGTTATATCAATCGTAGGCTGTATATTCTAATATAAGTTCACCTTGTCCTTCAAAGCATAATAATAGTCAATTCCTTAAAGTTTTTAACTTCTTTTTAACCATGCCGCAATATATTTATAACCATTTTTATACAGTCACCATATGATAAGACTGCACAAAAATTTTTTAACGATTACATGTATTTCTTAAATTGTAAAACTATCACGCGAAACACACTTTTAGCATTGTTTTTCGTTAAGAAGCAAAAACAATCGCCAACCTATCACCTAAAAAAAATAATTATCGCCAACCTCCAAAATGCATGCTGCTAGTTGGCGGGTAAGGGACGAAATCCCGTAGTTTTTTTAATGGAATTTTATTTCTAATATGTATTATTATTTATTTAGACTCTTTATGATCCGAACTTCATATCTTGCTACAATGTCTTCTATACTTCAATGCCTGTCTTAGCTCTTGGAATATTTGATCAGGTGAGTCAATTATGGTATTTAGAAAACATCAAAAAATACTTTCACAATCAAATCACACCTGTGGACCAACCCATGTTAATTGATGTAATTCAAGGTTTTTGTGAAATATTTGTAATTCTATGAAAATCAAAGCTTAAAAAAGTGTGAAAAAGCACCGGTCTTAATTGACTTGTAATTTAATTTTTTAAGGGGGGGAAAATAAAACAAATTTCCTGAATGATGATTTCAACAGAATAGGGTGCTATATAATTTATTTCAGTAAAACCTTCGGGTTATTTGTATCTGGTCTACTTCCTCACCATTAGAATAGCAAAATATTTATTTATTGATTGTAATCGATTTTTGCATATTTCTTGAGCCAACATTTGTTATTTATGATAGAGCTAGAATGTTCCTTTGAGAGAAAAAAAATCTTCATGTAAGGTGAAATCCATCTAGTTACCTGCTCTTTTAAGTGGACCACGAGTGTAAATTGAGCTCTTTTTTTTTTCTTTCTAGAACTGAATTTATCCTATGGAGGGAGTATTTCTAAAGTAGAGAGCGTTATTTTCTTTACTTCAGCAAAATTACGCAGTTATTTGCATCTAATCTACATTTCGGCCATTGCCGAGTTGCTTTTCTGTGTTTTCCCAAGCTAATTGCTTTCGATTCGTTATTTATTACCTGAGCAATCATTTGTTATTTTTTGTTAAGCTAAATTTTCATGTTCATATTAGCAATATCAAGAATATTAATTAAAATTTAAAACTGAATATTGCGTTGAATATATCAGACAATAAGCTATGAAAAATATATACTTTGCCATGAATAAGCTTTCTTAAGATTTTAACGCTTCTCACAAACTTATTACTCAAAAAACCTTAATCGTTAGCTGAAAAAAAAGGCATTAGAGAAAAAAATCACTTATCTATGCTATGCACACAATAACACATTTATCTTACATTTGTCTATCAAACTTATAATTTCAGAGTCACCATCATTTCTTCTTCAACCTCGATCTTTCAAACTTATGGTCTCGTAGAATCTCGTTTCTCTGCTGAGCATGCGCAGAACATTGTACACGTTAACTAATAAGTGCTTCCTGAAAGCGATAAATATCTCTATTCACGATCAGAATCCAATCAAGAATTATGGATAACAAATAAAAGCAACTTTATAAGCATAAAATTACCTCCTTACTTAATTCTACTTCAAATGTATACATTATAGTATGTTGATAACGTCAAATTTATCGTATATTTTAGCTATACGGCGGAAAAGTTATCAACTACTATATTTTCCACAGTATTATATCACGTCAATGGGACAAAAGTTACGTAAATTTGACTGAAAATGCTTAATATTACACTTAGGTAATTAATTCATTGTAAATAAAAATGCTACTTAATGTTTCGATAAAAGTTACCAGTTCTAAATAAAAATATATGCACATAATTTCAGAATTATGACTTGATATTTTTCGCCATCCAATGAGATGACAGTTGATATCAATCCAGAGTTATAAAAATTAACATACTTCTTTGTCCTCAAGACTGACAACTTTCCCACCCCACCCTTCTCAGCCCTTCTAGTATGCATGCCCCGTTATGAGTTCTAATATTTTGAGCACTTTCCCCTTCAAACGTATAAGATGATTGAGAATTTTGAGCCGTGCTGGCTCAAGGGATAGAGAGCTCGCCTTCCAATGAGATGAACCGGGTTCGAATCCCAGCCACAACTGATCGATACAAATTCAATACCCGGATAGCACAGACCAAAATGCAGACGTGAAATATTCTCAGTGGTAAATGAATCGCGGGTTTGAGTACCCTTGTAGTGAGGCTGATCAATGATGGTTTTCGTGATTTTCTTCTCCATATAACGCAAATGCGGGTTAGTTCGTTCGAAAAATCCTCAAGGAAAGCTAATTCCACCCAATACTTGATCCAGGAATTCCCTTGTCTTCTGGATGGGATTCAAAATTGCAAGGCTACGGTGTTGAACATTAATCGTTGTAAGTCCGAAATTGGGCTGTTCAACGACGGTTATAAAATGTTCAATAAAGTTTGTGGACTTGATACATTCTACTTTCGTTCAGCGTTTTTCTCGAAATATGTGAATTACAATGGCATTATGTGTCGATGACGTGTAATCAGATTGTGTTTAGTTTATTCAGTCTTTATAGTACACCCAAATTGTTAACAATTTTTTAATAAACTTTTTTTACCAGTAATTAATAACACTCTTTGTTTCAGGATTGTAATGACAGAAACTCTCTGCATTATCCTAGACTGTACACACCAGGCCACCACAATTTATTCTTCAACAAAAAAGAATTTCTCAAATCTCTGGTGCATGGTGTTTGTACATCCTTCACCCTGTTCTTCGTCTCTTACGGAGCCTTCAACCAGCTTATCAACAAAGATGGCCTCAACATGGACAGTCACCAATTGTTGGGCACAGTCGTCTCCACGTTGCTTGTACTGGTCGTCACTGCCCAGGTTTGTGATAGAATCATAAATATCGCGTAAACAATATAAGTTCCTTTGTAAAGTGAAAAGAAAAGCCTGTAGTACCTTTCAGACTTTATTAAAAGATAATAAAAAATTTGCTTTTAATCTGCATTTACAGTATAAAATTATTCAAATATTTAAAATACTGTCTCAGTAACTTATTTTACTGTTATTATTTTTGGTTTTTAAACGTTACTACGCAAGTAAAAAAATGACATGAATTGTAATTGTATAAAGGAAAAGAGAACCATTAAATAGAAATATAATCAAAAATAGAATAAAGACAATCGAAGAGTATAGCTACAAACAGTGCATCGTTTTGCAGATAAGTAACGCTCACTCAAGCAAAAAATCTAATTGGTAACGCCCACTTCATCAAGTGAAAAGAAAAATTATAAGGAATTTACAGATATGCTAACTTGTACCACTAAAGCAAAGCAACTCAAGTGCTCAACTAACAAGGGTGTTTCGAGGTCTACAGGACTCTCAGTTTGACTATTAAAAATTGATTTCGAAACGTATGACATTTGAAGTTATTGATGTAACAGAGATTTGAAGAAACTAAGTTTTAAAAATACTAAGCATCGAAATATTTAAGTATCAGAATCAATAACATAGCCTCCCTTCGTAAGTTGATCTATTTTAGTTGACCACAAAAGCAAAGCACGACAAGTTTACAAAGGTTTCGTTGTATCTTAAACTCTGGAGGTCTCTCAGTTTGAATATTAAAAATTTACTTTGAAGTTATTGATAGAAAATAGGTTTCAAGTAACTAAGTTTCAAAATTGATAAATATTGCTGTAACTGAATATCAAAATCAATTATATATCCTCCTTCCATAAGTTAACATGCTTAAGTTAACCATTAAAACGATGTAATGCAATTAGTCAACATACATGTTTCATTTTGGCCGGGATTGCCTGATTGGCAGGGCTCTGGACTCACGTTCATGAGAACGGGAGTTCGAGTTCAGCCTGCCGAAGATCCCCGAGTAGTAAATGATGACTGGTGCATGTTATATCTGTCGGGTCACAAAGTACTCCATGTTCCCCCAATAAATTATATCTCTGAGGGGTGCTGAATTGGATATTGATCGTACTCCGGTTCATGTCAATGATTACGATCTGTGGGTGAATGAACTTATGTATAAATGGGTCTACCCTACAAACGGTTGTGACGTATGAGTGTGGCAGAAGTCGAATTCTTGCCCATAGATGGCGCCACAGGAAAACAAGAACAATCGCATCCCCTCTGTCTTAATGGCCGACGACAACAATAACAACTGTTTTCATTGTGTCTTACTTTAAATATTAGAAATTGACTTCGAGAGGTATAAAATTTTATAATACACTAAATTAAAATGTCTCTTCTAGGTATCCTTAGATACATCTTACTGGACCGTCTTCAATCACATTGTAATTTTCGGCAGCCTCGCTTTCTACTTCGCTTTGACACTTCTCATCAACAGTGACTTCATAGCCAGCAAGTACCTAGGGGCATTCCGGATGACCCTGAGCTCACCCACCTTCTGGCTGACCACTCTTCTGGTCTTCGTTGTCCTCCTCATACCCATTATCACCGTCCGATTTTATTATGTCCACATCCATCCAACTCTCTCGGACAGAGTCCGACTGAAGCAGAGGAGAATCAGAATCCACGCGGAATCTGTTGAAGAACATCCACAGATTCTTCTACCACAACTGATGAGAAGGCCGAGTAGGCGAAAATCTATGAGGTCGGGTTATGCCTTCGCCCATCAAGAAGGCTTTGGAAGACTGATCATGAGTGGAAAGATCATGAAGAAGTCCAAATCAAGCTCCATCGCCAACAACATGTTGCCACCCTTGCTTCCAGGAACAATTACCCAGTTCAGACCGACCATTCGAGTGTGAATTTTAAACGGGTAACTATCATCACTGCCTCACTGACTGAAAAATGTAATTGAAACAGCGCCAAACCTTGTTGGCGAATCCACAACTTCCTTATGACTCTGTGATGGCGTTGAAAGTTAAGCGCGATTGGTAATCTATTCTTCCAGCTTGAAGCCAAAGTTCTAGGACTTTGGCAATTATTTTAAATGTGTCGATACAAAATATTAAAAAAAATGGGTCAAAGAGAATGATTTGATTGCAATGAAACACTTTTTAATAAAGGTTTAGAAAATTTCTAGTCTGTTTCTGAAATATTATAGATTGTTGAAGTTTTCTTAAGTTTAAAATTTTTTCTATTTATGAATAGTAAGAAATTATAAAATTTTTATTTACATTTAAAAGTAATTGCATTTTAAAGGCATAAAATTTAATGAAATCACGCATTTTTATTATTTACCTTACCTAATTTTAAACTCCAAGCTCCCTAATTCTCAGTTCTGCAAAAATAAATTTTTAGAAATTTATTTTCTTTTCATCCTAACAAATGTAATGTTATTTCCTTTTGGAATGAGTTTTAGAACGGAAAATCTTTACTTTTATTAAATAATTGTTTGTGAGTGATCTGATGTAATTAAATTATCATGTATTACATTTATATCATAATTCAATGTAATGATTTCTATTTTGAATTTTAAACATGGAGACTAAATAACTATCTGCCAGTCCCAGCCTATCACCCCCTCTTTTTGAAAATGCACCCAAATGTGTATTTTATATTATTTTTTTTTTTTTTAGAAATAAATGTGAAACTCTTATGAATATTTTATATTATTATGAAATTTACTTTATTTCAAGCTTGTTTCGTAAAATTTTTCTTCATTTTAGAATTGGACCTAATTATGTTTAATATATTTTTCATGGTCACTATTAAAAGTGCCCCCATTGAACACTGACCAGGAGTAAAATTCCCTAATTTTACTACACCTTTCAAATTCGATGTTTTCAACTCCACCTTCCTCAATAGTAATTTTTCATCTATCGATAATGTTATTGATTATGCATATAATTAACTACGCACAACTAACTGCGTATAGTTCAATTAATTTCATGTTCCAGATATTAATTTGCGATCGATGATAAGTATGTGAACTCCTATCTTATAGATTTGAAATCAATAGCGTTGATAAGAAATCAAGAAGCGTGTATGGAGGGCGTGACAACAGAACACCCTGTATAGAATGCTCTTCCCTAAAATACGAGTTGGGGACCAACTATTTATTGCCTTTGTTTAGGGACCAATTTTGAACTTTTATATTCATTTTTTTTTATCTCGATAACAGTTAATAACAGTCATTTTTGTCATGTAGGTAAAATCAGTCAAACAGTATTATGTACAGAAAAATAAATGTATAGAAAGTTTATTGCGTGTTCTTTGAATAACCCATTTTCGGCCAATGGTGCGTAAACAATATATTCATCTTAATAAATATATTTTATAAACAATGTGATGCATATTTCACACTAATTTCATTTTTCTGCTGTTGTCAAGGATTCTGAAGACATCTATAAAATGTCAGTAATTTAATTTTAGTAAACACTCTCTGGTGAGAAATTTTTAAACAACGCTACTATCTTGATTTTCGTTATTGACTAATTGGACTTTTGAAAGTGTATAATTATTCCATTTGAGATTAATCATATGTTTTTTATGGTGAATTAAAGTTTTCAATTGGACTAACTCTTTCTGTAAAGAAATTTTTAAACAACGCTACGATCTTGATTTTTCGTTATTGACTAATTTGCCAATTTGAAAGTGTATAATTATTCCATTTGAGATTAATCATATGTTTTTATGGTGAATTAAAGATTTGAATTGCAGTTAGTTCAATTGGAGTAAACTCTTTCCGTTGAGAAATTTTCAAACTACGCTATTTTTCTGATTTGAAACAGTTATTGACAAATTTGACTTTTTGAAAGTGTAGAATTATTCTATTTGAGATTATTCATATGTTTTTATGGTGAATTAAAGTTTTAAATTGGAGTAAGTTCAATTGGAGTAAACTCTTTCCGTTGAGAAATTTTCAAACTACGCTACTTTTCTGATTTGAAACAGTTATTGACAAATTTGACTTTTTGAAAGTGTAGAATTATTCTATTTGAGATTATTCATATGTTTTTATGGTGAATTAAAGTTTTAAATTGGAGTAAGTTCAATTGGAGTAAACTCTTTCCGTTGAGAAATTTTCAAACTACGCTACTTTTCTGATTTGAAACAGTTATTGACAAATTTGACTTTTTGAAAGTGTAGAATTATTCTATTTGAGATTATTCATATGTTTTTATGGTGAATTAAAGTTTTAAATTGGAGTAAGTTCAATTGGAGTAAACTCTTTCCGTTGAGAAATTTTCAAACTACGCTACTTTTCTGATTTGAAACAGTTATTGACAAATTTGACTTTTTGAAAGTGTAGAATTATTCTATTTGAGATTATTCATATGTTTTTATGGTGAATTAAAGTTTTAAATTGGAGTAAGTTCAATTGGAGTAAACTCTTTCCGTTGAGAAATTTTCAAACTACGCTACTTTTCTGATTTGAAACAGTTATTGACAAATTTGACTTTTTGAAAGTGTAGAATTATTCTATTTGAGATTATTCATATGTTTTTATGGTGAATTAAAGTTTTAAATTGGAGTAAGTTCAATTGGAGTAAACTCTTTCCGTTGAGAAATTTTCAAACTACGCTACTTTTCTGATTTGAAACAGTTATTGACAAATTTGACTTTTTGAAAGTGTAGAATTATTCTATTTGAGATTATTCATATGTTTTTATGGTGAATTAAAGTTTTAAATTGGAGTAAGTTCAATTGGAGTAAACTCTTTCCGTTGAGAAATTTTCAAACTACGCTACTTTTCTGATTTGAAACAGTTATTGACAAATTTGACTTTTTGAAAGTGTAGAATTATTCTATTTGAGATTATTCATATGTTTTTATGGTGAATTAAAGTTTTAAATTGGAGTAAGTTCAATTGGAGTAAACTCTTTCCGTTGAGAAATTTTCAAACTACGCTACTTTTCTGATTTGAAACAGTTATTGACAAATTTGACTTTTTGAAAGTGTAGAATTATTCTATTTGAGATTATTCATATGTTTTTATGGTGAATTAAAGTTTTAAATTGGAGTAAGTTCAATTGGAGTAAACTCTTTCCGTTGAGAAATTTTCAAACTACGCTACTTTTCTGATTTGAAACAGTTATTGACAAATTTGACTTTTTGAAAGTGTAGAATTATTCTATTTGAGATTATTCATATGTTTTTATGGTGAATTAAAGTTTTAAATTGGAGTAAGTTCAATTGGAGTAAACTCTTTCCGTTGAGAAATTTTCAAACTACGCTACTTTTCTGATTTGAAACAGTTATTGACAAATTTGACTTTTTGAAAGTGTAGAATTATTCTATTTGAGATTATTCATATGTTTTTATGGTGAATTAAAGTTTTAAATTGGAGTAAGTTCAATTGGAGTAAACTCTTTCCGTTGAGAAATTTTCAAACTACGCTACTTTTCTGATTTGAAACAGTTATTGACAAATTTGACTTTTTGAAAGTGTAGAATTATTCTATTTGAGATTATTCATATGTTTTTATGGTGAATTAAAGTTTTAAATTGGAGTAAGTTCAATTGGAGTAAACTCTTTCCGTTGAGAAATTTTCAAACTACGCTACTTTTCTGATTTGAAACAGTTATTGACAAATTTGACTTTTTGAAAGTGTAGAATTATTCTATTTGAGATTATTCATATGTTTTTATGGTGAATTAAAGTTTTAAATTGGAGTAAGTTCAATTGGAGTAAACTCTTTCCGTTGAGAAATTTTCAAACTACGCTACTTTTCTGATTTGAAACAGTTATTGACAAATTTGACTTTTTGAAAGTGTAGAATTATTCTATTTGAGATTATTCATATGTTTTTATGGTGAATTAAAGTTTTAAATTGGAGTAAGTTCAATTGGAGTAAACTCTTTCCGTTGAGAAATTTTCAAACTACGCTACTTTTCTGATTTGAAACAGTTATTGACAAATTTGACTTTTTGAAAGTGTAGAATTATTCTATTTGAGATTATTCATATGTTTTTATGGTGAATTAAAGTTTTAAATTGGAGTAAGTTCAATTGGAGTAAACTCTTTCCGTTGAGAAATTTTCAAACTACGCTACTTTTCTGATTTGAAACAGTTATTGACAAATTTGACTTTTTGAAAGTGTAGAATTATTCTATTTGAGATTATTCATATGTTTTTATGGTGAATTAAAGTTTTAAATTGGAGTAAGTTCAATTGGAGTAAACTCTTTCCGTTGAGAAATTTTCAAACTACGCTACTTTTCTGATTTGAAACAGTTATTGACAAATTTGACTTTTTGAAAGTGTAGAATTATTCTATTTGAGATTATTCATATGTTTTTATGGTGAATTAAAGTTTTAAATTGGAGTAAGTTCAATTGGAGTAAACTCTTTCCGTTGAGAAATTTTCAAACTACGCTACTTTTCTGATTTGAAACAGTTATTGACAAATTTGACTTTTTGAAAGTGTAGAATTATTCTATTTGAGATTATTCATATGTTTTTATGGTGAATTAAAGTTTTAAATTGGAGTAAGTTCAATTGGAGTAAACTCTTTCCGTTGAGAAATTTTCAAACTACGCTACTTTTCTGATTTGAAACAGTTATTGACAAATTTGACTTTTTGAAAGTGTAGAATTATTCTATTTGAGATTATTCATATGTTTTTATGGTGAATTAAAGTTTTAAATTGGAGTAAGTTCAATTGGAGTAAACTCTTTCCGTTGAGAAATTTTCAAACTACGCTACTTTTCTGATTTGAAACAGTTATTGACAAATTTGACTTTTTGAAAGTGTAGAATTATTCTATTTGAGATTATTCATATGTTTTTATGGTGAATTAAAGTTTTAAATTGGAGTAAGTTCAATTGGAGTAAACTCTTTCCGTTGAGAAATTTTCAAACTACGCTACTTTTCTGATTTGAAACAGTTATTGACAAATTTGACTTTTTGAAAGTGTAGAATTATTCTATTTGAGATTATTCATATGTTTTTATGGTGAATTAAAGTTTTAAATTGGAGTAAGTTCAATTGGAGTAAACTCTTTCCGTTGAGAAATTTTCAAACTACGCTACTTTTCTGATTTGAAACAGTTATTGACAAATTTGACTTTTTGAAAGTGTAGAATTATTCTATTTGAGATTATTCATATGTTTTTATGGTGAATTAAAGTTTTAAATTGGAGTA